GTCTTATCACGTTTACGGCTGTTGAACGAAGCATATTGTAATCTTCGTCTGAAAGAGTTTGAGAGGGGGCCACCACAATAGAATCGCCTGTATGAATTCCAAGAGGATCAAAGTTCTCCATATTACAAACAGTGATACAATTATCCCGACAATCTCTTACAACCTCGTATTCAATTTCTTTCCATCCTTTCATACTTTTTTCAATTAAAACTTGAGAACTTATAGCAAAAGCTTTTGAGCAAATTTCCTGTAATTGTGCTTCATTTTCAGCGAATCCACTACCTAAACCTCCAAGTGCATAAGCAGCTCTACAAATTACTGGATAACCAATATTTTTTGCTGCTTCTAATGATTCTTGTATATTTGCAGCTGATGCAGATTTTGCACACTTTTCATGAATTTGTAACATTTTTTGTGCAAATAATTCTCTATCTTCTGTCATTATAATAGTTTCTATCGGAGTACCCAATACTTTTATACCTAATCGATCAAATTCATCTTTAAGTTTTATTCCAACACTTAATGCTGTTTGTCCTCCAAATGTCACGTAAATTCCATCGGGTTTTTCGTGTCTTATAACTTTACGAACAAAATCTGGATTAACTGGCAAGAAATATACCTTGTCGGCCAATGAACGTGACGTTTGTATAGTAGCAATATTTGGATTAATTAATATTGTGTATATACCCTCTTCTTTCAAAGCTTTAATGGCCTAACGAAAGAATTAAATGTATTAATATACATTTTATTTTACGCGTTTTCTATTAAACTAATATCCTTACCTGACTTCCAGAATAGTCGAATTCACCAGCCTGACCAATACTTAATCCACCGCTACCCAAAACCAAAACTTTCCTAACATTAACGCGAGGATGTTTCATTGAATTTTCCTCTTTATTACCACCAGGAATTTTAATGGGTACTAATTTTCCAGATAAATTAGATTCTCTAACACTCTCAATAAAAACATCAAATAAAAATTCTGTATCTCTTGGTCCTGGAGTTGATTCAGGATGAAATTGGACAGAAAAAATTGGGAGCGTTTTATGCATGATCCCTTCATTAGATCCATCATTTGCATTAACGAATAGTTCCATATAATCTTTTGAAAGTGTATTCGTATCAACTGCATATCCATGATTTTGTGAGGTTATATAACAACGACCTGAAATCATATTTGTACATGGAATATTGTGACCGCGATTCCCATATTTCATCTTTATCGTTTGAGCGCCGGATGCTAAGCTTAACAATTGATGCCCCATACAGATTCTTTATTCATATATATAGAGAAAGAAAGGTTAATTATAATAAACATATAAATGAATATAATGAAGTTAAATTTACCCGAAAATTGGAGTTTTAACTTCTTGCAATGCTATTTTAAGATGGTCAATAGTCGCAGTGACCATAGTCGGATCGCCGGGACCGTTACTAAAAAAGGAAAAATAATCATTAATATTTCAAATATTAATTAATCGTACAAATACTTAACTGATATATACCTGATGAACAATCCATCATAATCATTGTCTTTATTGAAATCATAATCCCAGGGAACAACCTTTATTTCTACACCACGATTTGCCAAACATCGAATTTGATTAAATTTCTATAGAAAGAAAAAAATATTATTATAAGGGTCTAAAATTGATTAATTCCGTTGTAAACACAAATTAGTAAATTTTCGATATACAAACCATGCCAACATCCACTACTAAAATACGTAATGTTTTTCCGTTGACTCCTTTAAGAGCTCTTGCCGGATCTGGTGTGTATAATTTCGGTTTTTTAATTGAAACTATTTAAGGAAAAAAAAATATTAGTGATATTCCATGTATAAACATGCACAAAACGATCTACTATGAAGTTAGAATAAATACCTTCAGCAACGAGATTCCTATCATTTGGATCAACCCAAGGAACATCTTGATAATCGATCATCCAAGGTTGCTTATCAACTTCATTCAAAGGAGACGAAATTATCACATCACCCACCACATTTTTTGTAAAGAGGATTTTACCCAACAGAACACCCTTAGTACGAATTTTTTTGGTAAGAGCACGAGTATCGATTCCGTATAAAGCAGGAATGTTATTTTCTTTAAGCCAATCAGATAAAGAAGATTTAGCCAAATAATGAGAAAATTCTTGAGAATATTGTCCAATAATTAAACCAATTATATGAATGTCATCTGATTCAAAATATTTTTTTAGAGAAAAATCATCCACAACATCTCGTGACGGCACACCATAATTTCCAATTAACGGAAACGTTAAAACCAATATTTGTCCTCTATACGATGGATCTGTTAAGGATTCTGGATATCCTACCATTCCAGTTTGAAAGACGCATTCTCCCGAGACGCTCTCTATTTCTGCTCCAAATGAAAATCCTTGAAAACAGCTACCATCTTTAAGTACTAAAGTTGCGATTATGTCATTTTTAAAAGTTGGAGCGGTTACAGGTGGAGTTGGTGATCTTGGTGATGATAAATTATTATTGAGATAATTTTCAATAAGAGAATTAGAAATGATTTGCGGGGCTATTCCATCGATTATCTCACCACCGATGTGAATGTTATCTACCACTTCCGTTGCTTGTAAAGAAGTCGCAGTTGACGTGGAAATTAAATTTTCCACGTTTTTCATGGTGAAGAAAACTTGGTTTTATTTATACTAATAATTTTCGTAAAGCGGTCGAGCAAATTTTTATGCGAAATTTCGAGCACCAAGATTTTAGCATAGAATTTCTACGAAAAGGAAGGTGATAGAATAAATCGAATAATTAAAAAATGGTTAAGAGTTTACTTTGAAAAGGTAGTAATATCTAATTCTTTAAACATAATTTTTTTCTTTATCAAATATTTTTATTATCTTTGCAAAGTGTTAAAATACCAAGTTTAAAGGAGCATTTAAAAATTTTGCATTTAATTGGTAAGATAAAAAATTGATCAAAGTTCAATTTGAATTAAAAATGATCAAAGGCACAAATAATAATAATAATAAAAAAAGCTTATCAAATAATACGCACTCCCACTAAGACTCGAAACGTTATAGAAGCAGAACAAAAAAAAAAAAAAAAAAAAAGAAAAAAAAGAAAAGTTTGATAAAAAATAAATTCACGTGATTTATACTGTTGATAATCACATCTCATAATTTTTATTATTAAAAAAAGATCACCACTGCCTACCAGATATTAAAGTTTCCAATACGATATTATGTCTACGTTTACATAGTGCTTGTAAATCATCACTTACTTTCACATATCTCGTACCATTAAAAGGATTTGTTTCTAAATACCAATCAATTACCACCAAATAAAATTTAAGTTGAGGAAAACTTTTCGCCAAAAAATCAAAAAAATCTACATCTAAATCATTTTCTTCATGATACTGTAAACGTAAATTAAATAATTTAGGAAATACACTTGGATTAAATAATTCAGCTATGCCACCGGCAGTTATCTTACCACATTCAGATAAATCAATCACATTTAATTCTGGCCAAATATTATTCTTATGATTGCTTGTTGAATTTGCTAAATTAATAAGTAATTTATCAGTTATCGCAGCTGCTTGAATTTTTAGTTCTTTTAACTTTTTACAATAATTTAACATTGGTAATAATAAGTCATCCGTTATCTCCGTAGCCAAAGATTCATAAACACCCGGTCCCCAAATCATGAAAGATCTCAATGTTTCTTGATTTAATTTAACTAATCCGCATAAAAAATCTTTATCTAAATTTCTACATTTGACCAATGATAATATTTTAATACATCTACAATGTTTTAATAACATCTGTTTGTCTTTATGATCTAATCCTACCCAGTATAATGATATTGAATTAATTAAATGGCCGTACTTTGGAATATAATTACGAATCATAAACCACTTGCTTTGCCTTCTAATATCAACTTTATTCCATAATATTGTTACAGAACAGTTATGCCATCTTCGACATACCAATGATACATTTAATATGTCCTCATATGATTCTTCAACCAAAGGAATACGAAGGTGTCCAAATATTTTTAATAAGATTTCCGGTGGAAATGATGATAATATAGTATCAGAATTTGGTCTTTTAATTAATATTGGAGGTGTTACAGGAGGCGTTAATAATGGAACTATTGCTGATTTTAAGGATTGTGTAGGAGATGTTGATAAATTTGATAGTACATTTATTATTGACGATACGTTATTCGAAGTATCACTCATTTATTTTGAAGAAAATTTAACGGGGGAAAGAAAAGATATTTTTTTTCTTTTACAAAAAGGACAAGGATTAAAAAAAAGTATATTATATGTATTTATATAAATTTCATCATGACAAATGATTAACCTGTAAAATAGGGTCTTTTTTGGCATTTTGGACGATTTGTTTTATCTTGTACCAGTGCAACCGTGCAATATTACGTCATTTATGGATGATCGGACACTTTGCAAGACAATCTTCATTCAAATGACATGTACAAATCAATTCAAAAAAAAAATGAACACATCAAATCAATTATTAATTTTTTTTCTGTGTATATAAAAATTATGAATGAAGAAATCATTTTCTTCTTGAATATATTCACACCTCAAACTAACGTTGTATGTAGTTGACCATGTGGAATTTGTAAATTATCAACAGATTTTAGTTCAATTGGTAAATTACCAAATTACGATTAGAATTTCAATAAAATAAGTTAAAGAGACTTCTAAATAAAGTAAATCATTCAACATTCTTTTTTTTCCTGTTGATAGCTTCTCGAAAAATCTTTCATCGTGCCCTGTGTCATTTTATAAACGGTAAGATTGGATTGCAAATAAATAAAGTTTGTTGTATACCCAATCATAAAATATGCAGTGAAACATCAACTTTTTGATTCAAAAATAACACTCTCTACAATGAATTTAACTGTATGAAATAAACTCGAAAATTTTCTTCCTTTTGTCTTTTACATCAAAAAAAGGAAAACAAAAAGCTTCATAAGCATCGTTAAATTTGATATGAGTAATTCCTCTCATTTTGATCCTCCTCGTGGGGTATTCACTTTACCTACGCCTTGTGAATTGACTAACCCATTCTGGGATGTAATAAAAACTTCCAAACATTTTAATTTACAAAGAACCAAAGCTTCAAACATAAACTCTATTTATAGAGGAGTTATTGGTACCATTCAAAATGTGTAATGTACTCTATTTTTGCATCAATATTTTTATTAATTTATCATCATTCGTTTACTAACTCGGTTTTTTAAAAATTTTTAGATTTGATACAAAGCAACCACCTTTTCGAATCGTTTTTAGAGCTGAACCAACTAGTACTTCTTTACAAATTGCTGTCTCACAAACTGAAAAAGGGATTAACGATGCGTGGAAATGGATTGAAGGTATTCTTATTGATCAATTCGGATCATTTATTATTATTAACTTTATAGATTACCATAATCAACGATTCTAAATTTTTTTTTAGATAGTTTATTTTTGGGATTAACTAAACTTGATGATCCCGGCGAAAAAGAAAATTATGTAGTAACAAAAATAAATTCATTGGTTACTCGTCAAGGTACCATTCGTTATTATTTTTTGTTATTTATTTATATTATTTATTTATATTATTTATTTATTTTTAATAAAAAAATCCGAATGTGTAGATAAAGGAACTGATGAAGTTTCCGAGGATGAAAGTGTTCGTGCTGCATCCAGAGCTTTTCGACAGACCTTCGATATTGCTCCCACAGAAAGGCTGGTTAATTGTGAGAATTTTTTTCTTTTTAAAAAAAAAAATAAAGTATTTATTATTCCCAATTTAATATTGATTCCGATTATTGTTATCATAGTTTATTCCTGTGCATATCGTAGTATAATTCAAGGATGGATGTACATCAGCGAAAACTATTTGTGTTTTTATGCTTTTTGGTTAGGTCACGAAACAAAAATATTAATAGAGTTAAAAGATATTCAAGATTTATTAAAAGAAAGATCAAAACGTGGAATAGTTGCAGATTCCATCAAAGTTATCACAAAAGGTAGCCAAGAGGTTAGTGTTAATCCAAAATAAATTATAGCATCCGTTAATTAAAAATATTACAACTAAGGAATTAATCTTTTATACATTAGCATTTTTTTTCTAATCTTTTTCACCGTGATGAGGTAATGTAAAATTTATTTGCTATAATTTATAATGAATCATTATATTAAATTCAATTTGTTTTTTCATATAGACTTACGATACTTTAATGCAGTTAACAAGTCAATCTATGCAGAGATTACTTAAAAATGCTGCCATAGAGCCAGCACCTGGAAAATTTTTGTTTGATTCCAATTTTGAGCCCAATTCTGATAAAGAAAAATCTGTGCCAAAATGTAATTCAGTTATGCCCCGTTCCCCAATGGTACCGCCATTAAAGAAAGGACTTGAAGAACAGAAAAGGGATAAAGAATTTCAAATGTATTTTAATCTACCCACAACTGAACATCTTATGGAAGAGTGTTCTTGCGAATTTTCAACTCTAGAGATGAAAGAATTCTTAAACGGAAAACTTCAACTTTCTGAAGGTTATCTCACCTTTGTAGCTGATAATGCAAAAAGTTGTAGCTTTATTCTGCCATTGTATACTGTGAGGAGAGTTGAAAGGCTTAATAGCAAAACACATATTTTTGCACTTTCAATATCGAATTGGCATCAAATGAAATTAACATTACAAATAAATGGAAGCAAAATAGCTTGTGATAAGTTTTGTAATAAACTTCGAGATAATCTAAAAGAACAGGTACGTCACATGAAGCATTTAAGGTCATTTTTAAGTACGTGTATTTCGGAAGCTTTACTTGTGGATCCGAAAAAAGAAATTTCAGTTGGTGGGTTAGGATTAGTATTTGGATTTCCTGGTGATTCTAAAAAGTAAGTTTAAAAAATTTTTTTTTCTTATGCAAATAATTATTAACAATATATAATATTTTCCGTTACCTAGATTAAGGGATAAGTATAAGACAAAGCTTTGGATTGAATATTTGCAGAGTATGCGATTTATAAATATATTCGAGTTAATTTATTTATTTTGGGGTGTTGAGGAATAAATTTATTTTCATTTGTATTTATCTTGATTAGCACATGGCAGGAATTTGACTCTGATCAAAAATCCATATTTTTATAAACTTGTTCGTGTTGGATTACCGAACAAGCTACGTGGAGAAATTTGGGAACTTTGTTCTGGAGCAATGTTTTTGCGATTTGTAAATGATGGGATGTATGAGAAATTACAGAAAGATTACGCTGGAAAAGTTTCGCTTTCAACTGAAGAGATTGAAAAAGACTTGAACAGGTAGTTTAGGCGAATTTATTATTAAAAAAATTTTTTTTCGTGTTTAAGCTGATATACTGAATTTATTAACTTATTTGAGAAATTAGGTCTCTTCCCGAATATACCGCCTATCAAACAAAAGAAGGAATAAATACTCTGAGAAGAGTATTAACAGCTTATTCCTGGAAAGATCCTGAATTAGGTTATTGTCAGGCCATGAATATTGTTACATCTGCTATTTTAATGTAAGTTATTTTATAAATTGTATTTTATAATTTTAGTCAATTTTTTAATACCTAAATTATCTATTAGTTACATGAGTGAAGAACAAGCATTTTGGATATTAAGTGTATTATGTGATAGAATGTTGCCAGGATATTATAGGTATGGAATTGCTTTTTATAAAAATAAAAATAAATATGTATCGAATTTTTTATTGATTTTATTGATTTATAGCACATCAATGTATGGTGCTATTCTGGATCAGTTAATATTTGAACATTATGTTCAAAATAAAATGCCCGTGCTTTATGAGCATTTTCAAAACGTTGACGTTCAACTGTCTGTCGCTTATCTTCCTTGGTTCCTAAGCTTATATATCAATTCAATGCCTCTCCTTTTTGCTTTCCGAGTGCTTGATTGTTTTTTTTTGGAAGGCCCTCGAGTATTATTCCAGATTGGGTTAGTAAATTTTAACTTTGAACTTTTAAATACTTAAACCATTTAAATCGTATTATTTAATACATATGTATCATATTTTCATTCTTAGATTGGGTAAGAAAGCTTTAAATACCTTTAAATATGGTTATCATCAATCGCAGCTATATTAATCTTTGAAACTCTTCGATTATTTTTAAGCGATTCTTAAAATAAATGGAGATGAACTTTTGACAATTACTGATGATGGACAATTCATACATGTATTAAAAAAATACTTTGGAGCATTGGACCAGCCTGCTCATCCAAATAATAAGAATGATAAGACCCGAGAAACTACTAAATTTAATGAGTTAATGATGGTGGCTTTTAAAGAATTTTCAAGTATCACAACTGAAAGTGTAACGGAACTTCGTAGAACACATCAGCTTAAAGTCGTTCATAATATCGAAAGTTATACAAAGCGAGGACAAATAAGAAATTTGAAGGATACTTCGAAATTTTCAAAAAATGATATCTCTATTATTTATGACAAATACTATAATGCACAGTTCTATGGTAAACAAAAAAGTGTGCGAAATGACTCTCGAATGGATTTGAATACATTTTATCGGTTTTTAGGAAGTATTTCTGGTTGGGCAAAATTAGACGATGATAATCTTACAAAAGAAAATGGATCACCGAGAGATAATCAAGGAAGAAGATTAGTAGGATATGAATTTATTAATAAATTATTTATTCATTTCGACCGAAGTCAATCTGACGGACTTACTCTTCAAGATGTTGTATTAGGGCTTGGAGAAATTGTTTTTGGAGATCTCTTGTCACGAATGGAATTGTTTTTCAATTTACATGATAGTGACAAGGATGGGTATCTATTTAAGGAAGAGATATTACAAATGTCAGAAAGTTTCCTATTTATATTTAGAAATCTACCAGATGATGGTCATTTAGGTTCTGTTTCAAATTTTATAAAAAATGCTTTTGAATATACAGAATCTATGGGTGAAACTGATGATGTAGAAAATTTATTGACGGAAAAAGAAGAACATAATACGAGAATGTCATTACCATCATTTCGTATGATAATATTAGCAGATGGTTATCTTGAAGAATTTTTTGATTCGGGATTTGCAACAACATTCCAATTTATTGAGCCGACAGAAGAAAGATCAAAAGGACTTGGAAGAGAAATATTTAATGCACTAATGACAGATGGCATGAAATTAGCAGGGAAATTTGGTAAAAGGCTTAACAATGCAAGACCAAAATCATTTGGTTCACCAGATCGAAGTAGCTCTTCAAATTCTATATCAAATAGATACAGTATGAATTCACCAGCTCAATCAACTACATCATCAATGAATTCAAATAATATGACAGAAAGTTCTAATAACAACATTAATCATAATAATAATTCATCATTATTAATACCAAGAAGTAATTCACAAGATTCGTTTGTTTCAGTTGAATCACAAAAATCTTTGTTAAAAGCACAAGGAAATGATTCTCCTATTTCATTTGGTTCCGAAGAAGAAGATGGACTTATGCAAGAAGTTGATAGATTATTAAGTGAATTTAGCATTGATGAAACCGGTAAAAAAAAAGGAGATTTTATTTGTTATTTATTCTAAGCTTTATTTTGAGATGTAACTTTTTTCAATTCTATTGTACAGGTCATGATAATAGCAGTGCTTTGTCAATTGATATACAAGGTAACTATAAAATGTTTTAATGAAATTATATTATTTTTCATCTAAATCTAATCTATATTATTTAGATAATACAAATATACTTGAAGAAGATGATGTTGATAAATTACTTCAAGATATATAATTTATTTATCAATTTTGAAATATTTTAAAATTATTTATAATCATTAACGTTAATAGAATACAATAAGAAACGTACTTTTTAATTTTATATATATATTTAGTTTAAATTTTGCTAAAAATTATTTTTATTTTAATTAAAAAAATGTGATTAAAGAAATTATTTACTTTAAATTTGTATATAGTATTTATTTTTATATTTGAAGATAAATGTCAAAATTGCTTCCATTTTGATCCGATCCGATTTTTATGAATTTATTTTGACCAATTAAAAAGTGGCTAAACTGAAAAGCTACCGGGATGACCTTGGGTTTTTTACTATCAATTACTAAACACAATTCTGGAATTCGGTTATTTGGCAATAACAGTTCAGTAACCGCTTGTAATACTGCCTCACTCATAGATGATAATGATGAGTTTGAGCGTGATTTAAAGAATGAACTTAGTCGCCTCTTTTAAATCGTTTATATCAATAGAATTAAGTGCTTTAACAACATCATTATCATTTTGACTTGATATTATTTTTATAGGGTTAGCTATCGATGAATATAAATAAGCATTATTTTACGTCCCTCCATATTCATTCCTAGAAGAAAATAAGATGGCGAGTGGGTTCAAACCATCGGGCACTAGGAATGACATTTCCGCCTTCCGCCATGTTCGATAATTGTACCCGTAGACAGTTAATGAAAAACACGTACGCGTTCCGTTTCGGAATGCCGATCACTTTGCCATTAAGAAACTATATGGAAAATTGCACGCATATGCAAAATGTTTTCTTTTTTACAATATGCTTCCATAATAGAAACCAAAGATGGTGATACATCTCTTGGATCGTTATAATTAGTACCTGAAGACTGATCGCCATCGATCTCTTCTGATATGTCTGATATGTTAGCCTCGTCAATGTTCTTTTGCGGAGGAATGTATGAGAAAGTAAATTTTCATTTCGTAACTGAGGAGATGGTGACATTACTCCACTTCTTTCGCTATTTCATCATCCTCAGATTCGTCATTAGATGATTTTTCACCTAGAAAAGGAGAGAACTGATCTTGGAAAGAAACAGTTGACGATTTTTCACCCGATACTAAAAAAGGATTGTTTTCAATATCTTCTTCATTACTATCCTGTTCGTATTGCAAAGGATAATCAGGTAGAGTTTAGTTAGCGGTCAAGTCTAAAAATATAGCCAGCAACAAAATGTCCATTACTTTATGAATTCTGGTACGTTTTGTTGCTCTTTCCTTTCATCAAAGAATCTCTTAGTGGTGGTAACCGTATGCTCCTCTCGCGTCTTCGTTGCGCATATTTCGATTGCTATCCTCGCCTTACGATGTTCCTAATAGGATTGTCAATAAGGTTATTATAATATTTTATTCCTAAATTTGCTTTAAGACTCACTCCTAATGCTTGTAGTGTACTTGCTGATGTAACATTTCGACTAAGTGTTGTGTGAAATTACTTTTTTTCAGTTTTTAATTCGATTTCATCAATAAAACGTTTTACATCCACTGAAGAAAATGACCTATCATAGTTTGACAGAATTTTATTCGTCTTTTTCTTGGCAAATTCGTGTGCATAGCCTTTTTCGTCTATACTACGTAACAGCGAATACAGGTCATTCATGAAAGTATTGATTGTATCTATAGATAATATTTTGGCTCTATATATCGCAAGGAATTAATAATCGAACATTCCTTCTGTGGAGGTACTCATTCAATAGTGATTCAAATATCTTAAAAAGAGCATGATAAATTGATATGGTGCAAACCAGTGATATAGATTGGGGTTGCGCAATAGGCGCGCTTATAAAAATATTTTGTATTTATATCACTGGTGCAAACGGCTTAGTCGCATCCAATAATTTTCAGTGATTTTAAAATGTAAAGGAATTTTTTTTAATCTTAAAAATATTAAAAATAATACGTTATTTAATAGATCTAGATATGGCCTTTAATGCAACGTATAGTTTTAATTGTATTTAACGCTAACTTTAATAGTAATAGCGGGATTTTCAGCGCCTACAATATCACGTGCTCGAAATATGATTGGTTCGTATGAATCACTTGACAAAATATGATTGGTTAATCGCACTCACATGTCACCAAAGAATACGACAATGAGACTTATACTGTTTAACCGCAAAAACAGCCACCTTACCTGAAAATCCAAGTTCATAAGAACTTATGTAATACGTAGAATGACATGCAAACTGACGAATTTTTTTAGACTAATGGAATTTAAAACACACAATACAACTTCCTTAAGGTTCTTGAATGTATAATTGCAATGGAGACGTGAATACTACCTAAAAAGACTTGATGTAATTAAGTTTACAGTGAAACTTCAGGCAGAATATACACATATGCTCTGCTACCTCAATAACCTAAAAAATAAGTGTTTTATAAAAAATGTTATGGTAAATTAAATAATTATTAACTGTAGCTTACCTCTTATAGGTGTATTTTTTGTAATACAAAATCAGGTTGGACAGAAAGGATATGTGTTATGCAACAGTTTAGCTTAACTGGATTGGGATTATGTTATGTATACATATTGCATTTTCTTTCAAACCCAGTATCTATAAATTACGCTTTCAAGAACTTGTCAGATACCTTTGAACTTTACTATACTATTAACATCTGTGAATGTCATAATATGAGATGAGCTATCAGGCATTCTACCATTACAGAGGAGTGGTTGTTTGATACCATTTTTTATATTCATTTTTAATACTACAATGTATTATCAGCAAATGCATTGAGATTGCAACTGTTATCAAACATAAATAATACAATTTTTTTTAGATAAATACGTTTGAATATTAGAATAGTCTGCTCTTTTACCTGATTAACAATATCTTTATTTGTCCATTATAATTTGTACTAAGATACATCATTACATAAGCTTTAGTATACATAAGCTACTCACCATTTAGAAGCAAATTATTAACGAAACAATCCTTTTCTGAAAGCTGAAGTTATCTAATAAACTTAAAGAAAAAGTTACTTACATAAATACTAAGGTCTTTTGACTTGTAACGAAGTCTATTTTCATTTACTGGATTCTAAGCCTTAACAATATTATCATTAGTATAGAAGATTAATCCATCATAAGTAACTGAAACAATTTCAGGAATACTATATAGAAGTATAGATAAGATGATTTAGTCTAAATTATTATCTTCGTAAATAGCAATTCATTTTCATAATTCCACCCATTATTACAAAAATCAACCTCTATCTGCAATTATATCTTCATGTTCATGACCATTAAAGTAAATGTTTTTTGAGTAGTTTTTATATTACCAGCTAAGAATATATAGTTATTCGCATGCAATTGAATAAGAAATACTTATCTTTTCTTCTATTTTAAGAGCAGAAATAACCTCATCCTCAATGAATTTACGAATTTAGCAACATTAAACTTGAATTTATATGCACATAGATATTCAATAACTCACAATTTAACATTTTTATGCAAAAAAAAGAGATCAGATTTTTGCATAACGTTTACATTTAAATAAAATAATTGTACTATTACTAAACCATTAGTTTACCCTAAAGTTGTGCTTGCTATGGACCTTTATTTAAGCTCTGAATAAAAAGATTACTTGTATCCATCTTGCTATATCCTTAATCCTAAACTAAATGAAAAAATTGATTTACTATCTAAAGCTGCAAATCATCATTCTTTTTTTAATAACAAATTCAGAAATCCTAAAGTGAATTTATTATTAATATCATTACTGCTAACATCACTATTATATACTAGCTCACATAAATTTAAAATCTATATATATGACTTTGCACTTTTAATCAATTGTTTTAATATATTTAATTTTCATGCTTATATTCTATCTATAATTTCATCACTATTGAAATACGTCTCTTTATCTTCTATCCAAAAATTACTAAATTATGATTTATCAAATTCATCAGGTTCAGCATCTGATAGCTCAAATATAATTTTTTTTGAGTTCTTTTTTTATTCCTAATGTTTTTTTAATAACCTTTTGAGTCTGTTTAGTATATTTATTTACC